AGGAGGAAAAGTGAACAAAAAGCACTATTGGGACACTGGCCAAATGAGGTAAAATTTTTATTTAAGTTTAATTCTGTTCATATGATGTTTGTTACTATCATTAATTACAATTCCTCTCTTTGAAGGTTACAGAAGCTTCCTGAGACAGTCACTCATAACCATGAAGTATTTGTTGTTTATATCCCAGAACTTGTGATGTTTGTAATATATATTTGTTAAAGAAAATTGTATTTGCTGACTTAATCTGTAGAGTATTATATTTGTTAATAAGAATCAATCTGTTGACTTGAGTTTAAATTAATTTTACAGCTTTGGATTTAATTGACCTACAGATATAACAGTGCATAAGTTATCTTGTAAGAAAACAATTTGAGATAAGCATTCCTTGTAAACTCCCTAAAATAAGGAATACTTTTAGTAGATTCTAATCCAAAGACATTTTGAAACCTTTTTCTTTTATGCAGCCCAACCTCTGCCTTTCATTTCCATGAAGCCATCTTTTCCCAGTCCTGTTCCTATCATTCTATCCCCTAAATCTACCTTGCTGGCTGGCTTCTATGTCTCTGCTTGGCCTTCAAGTGGTGATAATGGTCCAAATTTTCATTTTACATATTCTCCTTCAGTAATTCCATTTCACACAATTTCCTTGGATGAATTCCAAATTGAAATCTCAAATGAAAACCTCTTTCCTGAGCTCCACATCATGATTTTTAATTGCCTATCTTCACTTTTGTTCTGCACTGGCCCTTCAAATTAAAAAATACCCAGCAAAATATCCCAGTCTCAATCTGCTCCTCTTCTTGCCTTTCCTCTGTAGACATTTCAGAAGCATTTTCTACTTGTTTCCTTTTTGAATAAATTCAACTGACCACCATGTTCCTATGGACTCCATATCTGAATCAGCTGGTAAGTATGCTCCTTCTGTTCATCCCCACTGCTTCATCTACCCAGGAGAGATTTCACGATTGTTGACCAGCTTAACTAGTCTGCCTGACGGTGGTTCCCTGCCCTGCAATGCATCCATTGCCAAATGTCCTTTAAAAATAAAGGTCTGAACATGAGATATGATTTTTATTGAGATATAATCAGCTGTGTATAAGTTTAAGGTGTATAGCATAATAATTTGACTTATACATATTATGAAATGATCACCACGATAAGTTTAGTAATATCCATCATCTCACATAGATATAAAAAAAAAAGAAAAACAAAGTTTTTTTCCCTGTGATGAGAAGTCAGGATTTACTCTCCTGTCACGTACACCACAGAGCAGTGTTATCTCCAGCCATCATGTTGCACGTTACATCCCCAGGACTTAGGGTTCTTCTAAATGGAAGTCTGTACCTTTTCACCCCCTTCCTCCTCCATATCTCCAGCCTCCCCTTCATTGCCCCACACTCAGGTATTTCTCAGGTGCACTGAACCACTTGTCATTTCCAAACATACCAAATGCTTCTGCATACCCAGGGCTTTCCTTTTATTGCATATCCATGCCTGTTGCATTTTATTCCCTTCTCCATGGGGAGCCAGAGACTGGGGTCGCAATCCCAGCCCTGTTGCTTATGAGTCATCTGTTTTGGGGACAGATAATTAACATCTCAGCCCATCTCCTACCTTGTATATGTAACCGCCTTTTATTATTTCTCTCAGTCATAATGAGTCATTTGACAGAGAGGGTGAGTTTAGCATTGCTCCTGGCCATAACTGCTTTTTGATCTTGAATATTTATGCTACAGCAATGGGAACTTTTAAACATTTAGATGAACTGTTATTTGCCCAGTACTTTTTTGTTGCTCACTGTTATTTAAAGTCCCTCTGAGGACTAAAACTCTCCGCTCTAAAGTGTTGCAAGGCCTACATGAATATCAATTACCAACTTCAACAGTGGTAGGTTTCTCCACGTTAGTTTTAAGTCAGGTAGTGGAAACAAGGTCAAACACCCTTTTTGCAGGCCTCCTCATGTGTTATTTCACAAATGTAGGCTGGGACTGACTTGTTCTTATTCTAGGTTTCTAAAGTTCTTTCGTTTTGTAAATATATAGGTATGTGCTTTTTAGTATTTCCCTCTCATGATACAATAGGAAACCTTATTACAACCGCTCACATAGGCAAGAATCTCAGTTCTGCCATTTTATGAGCTGTGAATTCTTGGCGAACAGCTTTATCTCTCTGAACTCCAATCTCCTCATTCTGTTCACCTTAAATCTGTTAGGAGAATTCAACATGCAAAGCAGGTGCCCCGTAAATGGCAACTATTGTGATTATCAATATGCTTCCTGCCACAGGTTATACTGGCACTTAGCTTTTGAGCTCCCTAAAAACAAGCACAGCTTCATGTGTCTTTACATCCCCAGCCTCATGGTTGGTAAATAGTTTTTGACATTCAGAAATACCAGTTAGACAAAATGTAAGTTCAATTTAATAATCTGTAATCATCTTTCCACTGAGTTTTCTTATACGTGGCTTAATATGCAAACTAACAATTATTTAATGTTTATTTAATGCCTTTACATTGAATAGAATCATAACCCACAACATCCTTTTTCCCTCCTTATTTTATGTTGTAAAATGCAGGATGAGAATTGGGAATGTTTTCTTTATTGAGACAAAATGGTAATACTTGGAAAGTAGAGAAAGGTGAAAAAGCTAATGATACCGTTTCCAAAGTGCCCACTGAAGGTGTAGCAGGCTGGGGGAAACCATTCCATATGTTCCCCACAGGAGCTTAACTAACAGGGAAGGCACCAAAGGAGAGAAAACATGAGAGGGCTATTGGGTACACTTTTATACAGCTCACAGAAGGCATACAGAAAGGAAGGAGGTCTACAATATTGCCTTGCCTTGAAATACTGAAACACATTGGAGACGTACAGGACATGCTGTGTGTGCACAGCATGTGTGTGTGCACATGTGTGTATGCATGTGTGTATGCATGTGTGCATGTGTTTATGCATGTGTGTGCATAGTGTGTGTGCATGTGTGCATGTGCTTATGTGTGTGCATGTGTATGTGTGTGCATGTGTGTGTGTGTGTGTGTGTGCATGTGTGTGTGTTCACTGTTTCTTTCTGTCACAGTCTGTGGGTAGTTTAACTTTTCTCAGTTCCTGCTTCTTCCAGCCTTGAGTTAAATTCTTCATGGGGAACTATAGAGGGGCATTTTTAAATATTGGGACCTTTCTGATGCTGGGAACCTTGAAACTATGACTATGACGCAAATAGGAAAAAGCTGAAAGGGGTTAGATTTAATTGCTAATTAGACTCTATTGAGTAAGAACATTGTAGCAGAAAGTCATTATAATCAGGAAATGTTTAGTTTCTGAAACATAGCCGATCTTCAATAATCTGTGAATTTGTAATCACTCAGGTGGCAATGAGGTTGAGATTTACCTACAGTCACCCATGGAGAGAGAGCTTTAAGCTTAAAATTGCTAGAGAAACAACACAGCAGGAATAGGTTTAACATATTTATACAATTGGTTTTAATATATTTACACAATAAGTATCATAACAACTGATTAAATTATTACTGAAAAAAGTCCTCCTAGTTAACAGGGTAAGGTCTTAAACTTTTTAAATACTTTTGAAGTAATATATTGAAATATATTAAACAAAAACAACCACTTAATCAAACCTTTAGAGTTGGGAAGTTTTTCAGAGGTTAATTAATCCAATCCGTTCAGTTACAGATCCCATTTTAATCAGCTTTCACTGCTCAACCACACAAATACACAGCACTCTCTTCACAGAACATGAAAGGAGAAGAAAATGAACACTCAGGTCTTTTGTGTACCTGTTTTTCCCCTAAACAGAAGGTCTGCTCCGTAGCTCATACAGTGGAAACAGCGTGACCCAGAATAGCTCGGTGTGAGTCCATATTTGGTCATTAAATTGTTCTGTGACCCTGAGCAAGCCCCTGGGTGTGTCTGCTGTCTTCTCAGGGAATAAGAAAATGCCTAACTGAACTTCCGCGGGAGGTGATTGTGAGGGATTAAAGGAAGTGCTTTATGTGCAAAGCCTTTGGGAAGAACATAAAGAAACAGGACAGAAACCTAGAGCATACTAAAATGCACAATAAAAAAGCCAAGCCACTCTTTGACCCCAGGCTTCCCACTTGACTACCTCTCCAGAGACCAACAAGGTTAATAGTTTATGTTTTCTTCCCAAAGCAGCCCAAGTACCAGGGTATGCTTTCATGCAAACTGGCCTGAAGTGTGAGCTCTGCAGCATGCCTCGTGATTTCCTCCACAAGGCTGTATATCCCAGAGCTCGTTGGCACATACAGATAGCACTGTTTTCTCTTGTAAGATCAGGTTCCTGGTATCCACGGGAGGCTGGGCCCTCGCTCTTGAAGCAGTCCCCAGTCACAGACATTTTCAGTTACTCTGAGTCTTTTCTTTCTTTTTTATAGACCATGATGCCATAAATACCTCTGTATGTAGGGCTACACTTTTGTAGCACTGACTTTTTAAATACCTAGAAGACCTGAGATACTATTATACTTTAACAGAATTCTGTATAAGGCTGACATATCTTGAACTCTAGACAAAAATACATGTAATGTTGAATGTGCTTCTAATAAGGCCATTTCTAGTAGAACACAGTATTGCCACAAGGACCTGATGACAGGATTGTGTTGTCACACACACACACAAAGAATAAAACAAAAGTGTCATTCAGTCTTCACTGTCTTTAAAAGCAATAACCACAAACATTTGCAGAGTGTTTTCTAACACTCTCTCATTTAGTACACTCATTAGTGTCACAAATTCATCAAATCTCAGAGCTAGAAAGGACTTAAAAGTTCTTCTGGGCCAATCACCTTTTCCAAACAGCAAATATTTTCAGGGACATTTTCAGTGTCTCAAACAGGGTGATAAGGTGGTTAGAAGGGAAATCACATTTTACAACTAAGTTGCCATAACAGGAAGTCATACCAAAAGCAACAGTGGTGTCACAAGCAAAGCAGAAAAGCTGATCAGAGATCTGAATCTGGGACAGACCTGTAGGCGCCGGCGAGCTCGTGATCCATAATCGCGTTCGCTGTTACCGCACCGCTCAGGCTGTCCATCTGGAACACCTGTCCTTGGTTGCCGGAGAGAATGGAGTACTCGACGAGGCCGCTCGACCCACGGTCCGGGTCTGCGGCAGAGACCTGTGAGGAAGCAATTCTCCCATTAGCTAAGAATTTAACCTGCAAGGTGGGGTAAGCCTGTTTTTCAGGGAAATGCATTATGAAAGAATCAGATTGTCAGACACGCTCTAAAACAATGACCAAAGGAGTATCAACAAATGGCGGAAGCTTACATTTATAAGGAAGTGGGCTATGAGTGAAAAACCTGTTTCACAGACTCCTTCGAAGGGTTTCCAAGCAACTTTCAGAAGGAGCAGCACATGTGTTGAGCTGCAATTTTAGGCAACAGGAAAAAACAGTATTTGATAGAAAATCTTATTTGCTTGAATAGAAGATTTCCATTACTGTATATGGATTCAGCTAGCACCTGAAAAGGAAAGAAATCTCCCCAGTGAATGGTGGTATTTTATTTGTTTCTTGCTTATAATATTGCCTCTAAAATAAGTCACATGTGGATTTTTTATATTATGTTGAAAGACTCATTTTTAAAAGGATTTTTTAATTAATGAAACTGCCTAGATTTCGTGTTAACAAATACAGGTCCTGATGAGTTATCAGTCATGTTGGGGAGAAACAAAAGTTCTGTATCATTCTCCGCGGAGACATATTTAGTCTGCATTACATTTTAATCACAAAGCCAATTTTATTAGTGGATTCAATATTTTATTTAAGAACAAGTTGACAGATTAATTAAAAAATCTTTTTCCACTTATTTTTCACCCTCTGTGCTCCTCAGCTCCTTAGCTCACATCTCTCCTGGGTGCTACACTGAGGTCCTAGAGGGTCCTTGCTTCTAACACCCTATGCTCTCAATCTGTCCCTAGCCCAGCAGCCGAGTCTCAGGGGATCCTGAGTGGCACATGTAGACACCCAGGACCTCGTTAGGAGGGCACACGAGCCAGCTATTTGGTACAGAAAGGCAGCTACACAGTTGCCTTCAGATCATCAGGAAGAGAACCTTCATCTGCATCTGGGCAGAATGAAGCCCATCATGGGGCCGTTACTTAAAAGTTCTACAGAGAGCAGGCCCCCCAGGAGGCGTACAGTGGGAGGTCAGGGTGCCAGCAACACATCGCCACCATGGCTAAGGTCCTCGGGGAAGAAATGCATCAGAAAGAGGACCCAGGGGCAGGACGAGCACCAGGGCAGCGCTGACACACAGCTCCTTTGTTTCCGTCAAGATGAATCCACTCTAACTGGTCTCTACCCTGGCGTCCCACCACTTAAGATTCAAAGTCGAGGGAGATAAAGTCTACGTGAGACTGAGGCAGTTGGCAACACCTTTGTTTGGAGGAAAGGGGAAGGTCACTACTTGACTGACATTCCCACCAGGACTGCATCTGGCCAGGAGGGTCAGTTCCTAAGGGATGTTTGTGGGACTGTAACCAAAAGGAAAAAGCAGGGGCAGCATGGTGGCAAAAAGCGAGATGTAACTACTACAAGTGGTGTAACTCCAGAGCTTTCTACGTGCCTGTTGACCTGAACAGAACACAGGAAAAGGGCAGCTCTGGCTTCCTGGAAACCCACTGGCCTAAAATTGTGAAGAACTGAGCTCATGGTCCCTGTGCTCATCTCAGCCTCTGCAGTGTCTGCCGTACTGAAGCACTGGTAGGTCAGGCCCTCTCCTGTGTGGTGTGTGCCTGGGCTTCAAGCGTTCCACACTGTGCAGCCTAGCTCTAGCCAGGTTAGCAAAGAAGTGCAACATAGTGGTGCCCCAGTGTGGGGATCCTCTGGGATAAAGTAGGTCCCACAGTGGCCCTGGAGGCACTGAACAGGTATCACTGGGCAGAGGTGACAAAACTGGAAAAGAGAATGCCCTCACCTTCTTTTTAAACACCTCAGTCACAGTGAAAGCAGAGTAAAGGCACAGCGTTTCTGGAACAGGCTGACAGCTGGAGGAATTAGGCTGCTATCACACAAAATAAATCTACAAAGACAGCATAGGAAACCCCATGCTGGGCATCCTGGGCTGTGCGTAGGACACACAGAGCTAAAATTCTATGACTGCTGAGTCTCCACATGTTTGCATCAACAGAGGGAAGCATGTGCATCTGGAACTGGACTGGAAGTCCAATGAATGTGTCTTTATCCACAGCTGACCCCTGAACATGGTGGATGCACTTGAACTATGCAGGCCCATTTATGCATGGATTCTTTTCAATAGAGCTATTAGAGAAATTTTTGAAGATTTGTGAAAATTTGAGGAAAACTCTTTTTTCCAGCTTACTTTACTATAAGAATATAGTATATAACACATATAACATACAAAGTATAACTTGACTGTTTTTGTTATCGGTAGGGCTTCTGGTCAACAGCAGAGTAGGTAGGTAAGTTTCTGGGCGTCAGAAGTTGTACATGGATTTGCGACGGTGGTGGTGGGGTTGGCACTCCCAGCCCCCGTGGTACTCAAGGGCCAATGTGCGCAGGTGAAGGTAGCTGCACGGTAAAGAACTGTTGGAGGTCTTGTCCAGAAAGTGTACTAACGCTAACGTGTCGTCTGGATACCTGACCCCATCCAGCCCAGAGAAAGAGGGCCGTGGGACAGTCACTGGTGATTGGTCACAGTGGCAGGGTTACAGAGGCCAAAAGCAATGTTCCACTACACGTCTGACTTTTTCAGAAAGGGGGTTTAATACTGATTTCCTGTGCAGATCCCAAGAGGTTGTGCATTTCCTAATGTTCAGAATACAAAGCATCAGCTCAACGGTGAAAGGACACATGAAAACAGGTACTAGTCCTGAAGCAGGAAGGGAAACGATAAAGGCTGGGTGGGCTTTAGAGCCGAGCAACACTGCCCTGCTGCTTCTCTTCTCCAGGGCTTGGGGATTTGTCCAAGGATGGGGCTTGGCCTGCAAACAGTGGATCTGTGCCTTTCACACAATGCAGTGTCTGCAAATCTGGAGCCTGGGGAGCTCTTCCCTGCTCTGTGCCCCAGCCCATGCATGCACGGCAGCTCTGCCTGGCGAGTGCCTGCTCGCCCTTAAAGACTAAGTGCAAAATATCATTCTTCCGTGAAGCCTTATACTTCTCCTGCAGGAAGACTTTCTGTCTCCTACTTCTCTTGGGGCATTAAATGTACACTTCAGTTATGACGTAATAATATGCACTTAAGTTATACACTTACAAGGTGAGCTGATTTTTGTGCCCTGGTAGTGTTCAACAGAGTCCCTAGAGGAAGTGGGCGGGCACTACACTAACAGAGCATAGAATGAATATGGAAGAAGAGTGGACTCAGAGACTCCAGACTTCCTTCATCCTAACATTTCACCAAGTGTATCAAACAGAGTATATGTCCTGAAGACATTTAACATTTAATTTATGTTCTGGAGAAAAGGCTTTAGATATTTTGACATGCATTGATCGGTAATAATTTACACACACACACACACAAAAAAAAAAAAAACAAAAAAAAACCACGTTTCTGTTACCTGTATGATGTGAGCATTGTGGAAGTGGCCTTCAGACACTGACACATGGTAAACACTTTGCTCAAAGCGTGGTAAATTATCATTCACATCTTCTATCAAGACAGCTACTTTGCTGTAGGCTCTATACCCCATACTTTCAGCCAAAACAATGAGTTGTACTTCATTTCTGACTTCAGAATCAAGAAACTGGGGTTCTTTCACTGTGAGTTCTCCTATTTTAATTCCCAGGGAAAAAAATTAAAATAAAAGAAAATGTTACAGTGTTACTTAAAAAGTCCCAAATCACCTTTGATTCACATGTTCACCTCTCCCTCAAAGCTTCCCCTTGGCTGGCATCCCTTTCCTACCGACTGGGGTCACCATGAAAAAAGATGACAACATGCAGATGTTTGCAGGGCTCAAAAATTTAGGAGGGAAAGAAACCACAAAATTATCTGAAATCTGGGAGCTATCACTTCAGTTGTTCTTGCCTCTCCATAGTCTGTCCATCACCATGTCTGGAAAGTCTACCTTGCAAATATCTCTTGAATCCACCTCTCTCCGTCTTTACTGCTGTCGCCCCTGCATTCCCCACCTGTCCCTTGCATTACCCCATCTGACTGGTCCCATGGGACCCCTTAACTGGCCTCCCTACTGATCCAGTTACCATTCTGAATTAAACAAACAAAAAAACATGGTCAGTGTCCTTTATAAAATGTTTTGATGGCTTCCCACAACTGTCATGATAAAGTTCAGCCTCCCAAGGACCACTTGCTCAGGCCCCTCCCACCTCAGAATTTTCATCCATGTCATTTTCCACTTTTCTTTCTCTACTCTGATCAAAACACTCATGAGTGTTCTGATCCTCAAATGTCCCTTCCCGAGTTGTCGTGCATGCTGGGCCATCTGCCTGGAACAGTCCCTACTTCTGTATTTCCTCAGGGATCTTTCCAGACCACTCACCCCAGCACCATGACTAGCAGCCCCCAGCAGACTCCCGCCCGGTGCCTGCATGCGCTCCAGTCCTACTGCAGCCTAGATCCCCTCTTGTTTTACAGGTTATTGGTTTATGAGGACAGTTATCTATTTCTTACACCATTGTATTTCCAGTATATAGCTTGGGGTCTGGCATGCAGAAGGCATCCAGTCATATTTCTTATGCCCTCAAATAAAAAGTATATCCAGGTAAGGGAAATTAACTCTTGGGGGCTATGCCTCGTAAAAGTTTCTCCCTCAAATTAAGAAAATTCCTCCCCTGATATAATTTCCTTCTCTAGTTTCTACTGCTTTTTTTCTCCCCTTTACAATAACATTTCTTACTGAATTTGTTATTATTATTATTATTAAACTCTTACTGTCAAAAATTACTTTGAATAGAGATTCATTTTATGAGCACTGTCGGGGTTTGAGAAACCTGAAATCAAGCCTAAATCCTAGCCCTGGCTACTTAATTTAGGTAAATTACCCAGCTCCCCCACTACTACAGTTTGTGACCTGGAGTAAGTTATTCAGGTTCCATAGAGCTGCTTCTCTTCTTCTGTTAAATGAGGATGTTAATCATGACTTCATAGGGTTGCTGGGAGAAATAATATAGTGAATATCTGGAATGTTTCTTTGCAGTGACATGCAGATTCCAGTGTTCTACCCATGCTTGTTATCCATTCCAACATCAGATACAGGTTTAAGAGAACATTTACTAGCCATGGACTGTTAAAAGTTTGATCTTCTGGTGAAAGAACTTGTACTGCTTTTAGAAATATGGTCTGGAAGCCACAATTTTTATTGCTCAATCTGAACCAGTTTCTCTAAATAAACAACCTAGTCCAAGAACACATCAGGCTATCATGTACTTACCTGGATGCTGCTGGGAACCATATCCTATTCTAATTTTCTAACTCTGACATTGAGTGTTTTGAGAGGATTTTATAGCTTCAATTCTGTTATTAAGAAAAATTAAATGTTTATAATTTATATGGAGAACTTGCTGTACTACCAAATTTAAAATGTCATAAACTCATTTCATTTATTGTCCTTAGATTTAGATATCAAATCAGAAAACCAAATGACTTTTAGAAACTACAGTTGGATGTTCCCAATACCCCGAAAAGGAAATGCAGAGTAGATTCAACAACTGGCAACTGGAGAATCATCAAAATGCATTTTGATGAGCTGGAAATGAAAGAAGCTGGTCTTCAGAAACCTCTGTGAAACAAGGGCTGAGCCTGCACCCCCAAATGGAGGAGGACCCCCAGTCTGAGGTGGGTCCAAAGCTCTCCTGTCTTCATTAAACAGAATATTCAGCCTGCTATCATGTTCTGTTACTCTTAGTAAAGGAAAAATAAAATAGAAATAGACACTAAACTGCCAATGTCACTTAGTAGAAAGTGTGCCAATTAGAGTGCAGATCAAAGTGGATTTTTTAATGAAAGGCTTGTGTTTAGGCTTTGGTAATGGGAACTGTGCACTTGGAATGGATCTGCAGTGCTAATGCTTTCCTTGCTTGGTTTTTATTTGTGGCACAATAATTGGCATATGCTGTAAAAGCTGTGCAAGTAGAAAAGACAAGAAATAGTCTGCACGATGATTCAAGGCCAGCACACCTACTAGATGCACATTTGCCTGGAAGACATATGCATGTTTTTCTCAGAGACACCAAGAATTTACTACCAGCAGTGAGATGAAAGTACTGCTGGGTTTTATCTAATAGTGTGGGCAAGAGTCCATAGTTTCCTTAGAATAAGAGCCTTAAAAATACCAACTTCATGCTCGGACTTATTTGTTAGTGTGCCAGTTATATAACAACTTGAGAGTGAAACTGTAGTAGTATTTTCCTTCTGATATATGTACATACTGAGCTTTTGTCCAAGTTGTAGAATACACATAAAAATGTGATCATGATTCTTCAAATACTAACTGTTTGATAGCATAGTTCGGGTACTTCAGCTGGTTACAAACTGTACACATGCATATGTATGTATCCAAGGAGACTACGATAAGTATTTATGTTACCCAAAAGCTTTTAAACGTTCTACTGCTGAAACTACATACTTAAAACATTGAAAGTTTGATCACTTTTTGTTTTATGTCAATCTACCAAATAATGAAATGAGTACTACCATCTGTTATTTACATACACAGCATTGTCAAACTCCAAGATCCCTGCTGGTTTAGACAGTGAGTAGAGATGTCTTTAAGCTAAAGTGACAAGAAGTTTGGATATAGAAGTAAACCTTTGGTTTGTGACTATGGAACAGAGGGACAAGCTCTGGCACAAATGGAGAGAAAACAGGTCTAATCAGAGACTCATGTAGTCACAACTTATTAAACCAATAGCTAATAAAATGGTTTTCTTACATTTTTACCCTTAGGAAAAGTGACTACAACCCTAGAGAGTAAATTTCTTGATTTATCATATGCATCAGTTTTCAATTTTAACTGGTAGTCACAAGTTTAATGATTATGTGACAAAGGTGACATAAACAATGAATTTCCTATCATTATTAAATATTTTTAAAAAGGTTTCTTGACAGCAGTGTGGTAGACTATATACTGAAACAATCCTCATGATAAAAACAGCTAAACTCTTCGCTAAAATATATGTGTATATGTGTACTGAAATGCATTAGTGAGTCTCTACAATAGTGAGGAATCCTCACAGGACAAAAAATAATTGAAAACAGTAATCCAGACAGGTAAGCAAGCACTAAAAGCTTGTTTTTGTTCCAAGAGTTCCTAACACAACCTTCTTCCTTGAGATTTATCTCTGACAGCTGTACAGAGTGTAGAAAATAAAGAGAACCCTGAATCCCCAAAAGGTAAAAGTCTAATAGGAAAACTAGAATAAAGCTGTAAACTCAAAGGCTACATATGCTCCACATAAATGATCAGTATTCAAAAACATATTAAAAATAAATACACAGGAACTTGCTTTTCTTGACCTTGGTGCTGACTGAAAGGGAGAAAAAGTCCTTGCTTAGAATTCATTAGCTTAGGCCTGAATTTACGATATCCATACTGTCATAGCTATATTAAAAAAAAACCCTCAGTAGTTAAATTTAGCTAGTCTTTGCTTGATGACGTGTCTAGGTGATTTGCAGAAGGGAAAGCAATCCTCTCTCAAGGGCACAAATCCAACCCAGGTTTCAAATAATCCTCAGAGATAAAGCTTCAAAGACAATGAGCAGCTTATTGTTAAGAAGCACAAAAAATCACAGAGAAACAGGGTACCATTAATGAGAGCTAGCAAATCCATTGATAGAATAATCTTCAAAGACTTAACATGCTGAAATGACTAGACACAGTATATGTAATATATTTGTTTAAGTATATAAAAAGGAAGCTTGGAAACATGAGTGAGAATTAAGAGATTGCTTTTCAAAAATACAAAAAGAAATGAAAGAAAATCTAAGAGAACTTCTGGAAATGAAAAATACAGTGCTCTAGACTGAAAAGAAAAGGAAAAGAGATGTAGGGTGGAGTGAGATGGCCCAATATTCGTCTAACTGGAATTTCAGAAAAAGACACAAATAAATCGTATTTAGATCAACTGCTGACTTCTTAACACAAAAATTAGAAACCCTAAGACAGTAGGATAGGGTCTTAAATCTGATGAAAGAAAATAACTGTGAATCTAGAATTCTAAGCCCAGCAAAAATATCTTTTAAAGACAAGAATTAAATAAAGACATTTTTAGACAACCAAAATCTGAGGGGGAAGTTTACAACAGACCCTCACTAATGACTACTGCAGACAAAAAGAAAATGATACTAAAGAGAAGTCTGGGATATAAGGAAGAACAGTTAGCAAAGAAAATAGAAAAGAAACAGATAAATCTATTAAAAATATTAATAATGCCTAATTTTGAGAGAATGAAAACTGGGCCAACAAAAGCTTATGAAATGAAAAGATAAATATTTGGAGATAAGGATTCTAAGTCTCTTGTATTATTCAAGAGTAAGATGTTGATCGATACTAGATTTTAATTAAAATAGCTAAGCTAACCACTGATAGACGAGAAGTAGCTATATAAATTTCAACAAACACAGGGTAAAATGGTCATTTTAAGAAATTGATTGTCTATGTTGAATGTACAGAAAGATATCACAGTCAAGAAGAGGTTATAAATTGGCTAGATAAAAAGTCAAAATATGAAAGCCAATTGTCAAAAAAGTAATCTTTTCATATGCCTCAGCAAAAAAAAAAGTATAAGGTATTTAGGCTAACTCTAACAAGATATATAGAGGCCTGATTAAGAAAAAAATTAAAACTTAAAAAAAATATTAAAGAAAAAAATTAGTGTACTTTTCTATATGATCCCTGAATTAGAAGACAATACTGTAAAGATTGTTTTATGTCAATCTACCAAATAATGAAATGAATACTACGATCCATTACTTACATACACAACATTGTCAAACTCCGAGATTCCTGCTGGTTTAGACAGTGAGTAGAGATGTCTTTAAGTTAAAGTGACTGATATTTAGAATTAATAAAATTCCAGTAAAAATTGTAACAATCTAAATGTCCATCAATGGATGAACAGATAAAGAAAATGTGCTATATACACAAAGGCATATTATTTAGCCGTAACAAAGAAAAAAATTCTGCCATAGGTGAAATAAGCCAGTCATAGAAAGATAAATGTTGCATGATTCCACTTCTTTGAGGCATCTAACATGTCAAACTCATAGAAGCAGGTAGAATGGTGGCAGCCAGAGGTTGGGGGAGGGGTAAATGGGAAGCTGCCGTTCAATGATTTGAGGCTCAGTCATGCAAGATGCATAAGTTCTAGAGATCTGCATTACAACATTGTGCCTATAGTTTGATAACACTGTCTTGTGCACATAAAAAATGTGTTTACAGAGTAGATCACAAATTTAATTATGCTTTTTATCAAAATCAAAAAAAGAAAAGTAAATCGAAAAAAGGAAAGTTTTAGTAGATAATTGTTATCTAAAATGCACACCTATACCTGTCTTTGTGACATCTGAAAGAAGGACATTTTGGTCTGATGCTTAAGGTACTTAGATTCTAGACTGTAGTTATATTATTATTATTATTTTACATTTTCTTGTTAATTTGAGTGAAGTTTCATCTGAAATCAAATATGCATGCCATGGTTATGTGGGTCACACACATGAAAGTGTGGACAGCTGCACATTGCCCAAAGATTTATGAATAAATCTCCCTTCCTTTGGAAAATAATCCCAATAAACGTGTGTGTGTGTGTGTGTGTGTGTGTGTGTGTGTGTGTAAAACCTGACAAGTGGATCCAGTGATTTATATTAGAGCAAAGGGAACAATGAGAGCCAATCTACTCACGAGGAAGAACATGAGAGTGGCATAAATATGGGGGGGGGGTGCTGCTTCCCTGATATGAAGACTTATTATAAAACCAACATATTTAAGAGGTGTGATATTGGTGCATGGACAAAGAGGCCAATGGAAATGAGTTGAGAGTCCTGTACAGAGTCCTGGGAACATGATACATGGCAGTAGTGGTACTGTAGATCACAGGGAAGCTTATTGCCACTGGATAACAGACAATCCTTCCTGGGGAAAAAAATGGAAAGGGAAAGGAAATTATCCCTAGCTCATATTCCTAGAACACAAAAATCAATTCTAGATGTACTAAAGATATGAATGTGAAATGCAGGAAAACTATAAAAGTTTTAAAAGACAATGTAAGTTATCTTTACAATCTCAGGGTAGGGAAGAATTTCTTAGCTTATGAAAAAGGCAAATAATAAAGACTGATTGATTCTGACTCATTAACATCAAACTGTGCCATTAAGAGAGCAAAAGACAAGTCACAAACTAAAAAATATTTGTCAGAAAAGACAAATTATAAATACTGGCAAAAAATATTAAAAATCATTACATTTCAGAAATAAAAACACAAACAATCCAGTAGAAACAAGCAAAAGATACTAAAATGCATTTCCCATAGGAGAAAACAGGGCTGGTCAAAAAATGATGAAAAAAATGCTCAACTTCATTCATAACAGGGTAAATGCAAATTACAATCACAGTGAGATAACATATCACATCCAACAGAATGGCAACAGAAAGTAGGGCGGCGTGAACAACAGGGACGCTCTCATGCAACATGGTAGAATGTAAAGGGGGACTACCCACTCCACAAAGTAGTCTGGTGCTCTTGGTATTAATAAACACAGGCATTCTCTAATGTATGCCCAGCCTAGACTCTAGGGCCTAGCAAATGCCTTCTATGTGCATCCGAAGACACATAAGAGATTGTTCCTAACAGCCCTTGTCATTATATCCCCACATGGGAAAACCTCACTGTCCATCCACCATAGAGTGGACAACTCTAAATGGACACAATAAATAAGTTGTGAATATAGGCTTATAACAGAATACCATAAAGAAATGAAATGCAAGAACCCCAGCTATACACCTTAATGATTAAACATGTCAATGTCTTGAATAAAACAATAGAATACATAGGATATGAATCCATTTATATAAAAATAAAAAATAAGCAAAATTAAATACCTTTATGGTATAGGAATGCATTTACTGTAAGTCTCAAAGGAATAATTATCCCTGAGATCTGGACCTCAGTCAGCCTGGAGCGGTGGAGAGGAAGGATGTGATCAGAGACGGGCACAAAGGAAGCAAGGATGGTAACAGCCGCATTCTATTTTATGACCTTGCGGCAGGGACATCTCACCCTTTGCTTTTCCTCTTTAACGAGTGTATATGGTTTATGCACTATAAATCACAGGAAAAATGTTGAGCAAAAGAAGTCAAGTCATAGAGTATATTATTCAGCATGATTCTATTACAATGTTTTAATCAAGGTAAAACTGAATAACACAGTGTTTAGGGATTCAAACATGGTGAGAAAATTTTAACAGTAAAAAGGCAGTGATCAATACCAGATTCAGATTACTGTTGCCCAATTACTTCTGGAGTGGAAGAGGAGAGACGTGACAGGGAAGGGACGAGGGGGCTTCCTGAGGGTCTGGTGACGTCTCATCTCTGGAGATACGTGGCAAATACATGGGTTCTTACTTTACTATCATTCATTAAACAGTTTGATATGTCCTAATATATCATCTTTTTGTTTCACAATAAAAGTTTGCAATGAATTTCAACATAAATAAACAACTACTGCATTAAAAAATAAAAACTTTTCTATGGATGACCTCTTTGGACTAACTCTGGGTATATTTCATCTGCATTTTAATGAAAGATTCTAGGAAAAAGAAGGGCAAGCCTGGGCCACTGAGGAGTGAGGTGGCAGAAGGATCTGAGTAGCCTGGAAAATGTGCAAACCCTGCCAGTCTCCTTTTTCTTAAAATTCTAATCTCAGCTCCTTTCCCAGAACCCTTGAGCCACTGGACTGCTAGAAACTTAAGGTTTGGTGATGTTCACAAATGGCCCTTTTGCCCATAGGCTTTTCTAACCAAACCATGGGCAAAGAGATGAAGTCTTCTAGCAGGCTAGGTTAGATGGATTGCCTGACCAAAGGCTGTGTGGACCAAAAAGCTGTAGCACTGCTCTGGAAGGGAAGGCATTCACTTACGAAATTATCCCTCTCAATTCTTCCCGTGTACATGTAGGAAAGATTAAATAAGGCAGTTGTATGGTAATATAGAAATCATTAAAAACATTCTTTTCGAGGTTTGACAATGAAAGAGTAGATATATATCTACTACATAGTTGTTAGTCAAAAAAGTATGTTTCAAATAATCAATTGGTATTCATTTAAAATACAATAATGGTCTTATTAAAGCTAAATTTAATACATGCTGTATTTGGAAGTAATTTCTTTACCACCACATAGAAACCTTTCCAACTGTCTTTTTTTTTTTTGCATTGTTGACATCCAGTGGCGAATTAGAAAAATCTCTTGATGAAAATCCCCTAAGGCTAGACATGTGTGCTTATTTTCAGTTCAAAATCAATATTGATGATTTCCCTACTCTGTCTCCATTTCTCTCAAATAGACAATAAATTATAAGTGGAAACCAATTAATCTTCAAAAATTCAAAGGGTAGGATAGGTACTGTGTAATTTGGAAATGTAAAGAACAGAATTCTTAGTGAGTACATGTAAATAAATAAGTAGTTCTTGATTTCCCACAATTTCTCATCAGCTACCACAAAAACTCTTGTTTACATTTGCAACTACTTACCGCTAACAATTCCTGCCTTTCAAATTGTAAATTTCTTTTGCAGAACTATTTCTTGTGAGTCACATTAAACAGAGCCGGAGGTAAAGCTGTCATAGGGTAGAGAAGGATTACCTGAGTTGGAGGACAGGGAAAAAACTCCATCTTCATTTCCATTAAAAATTGAATACTTAATGCTGTCTTGAATTGAATCAGGAGCAAAAGCTTTTACAGTCACAATAGAAGTACCTGTAAAAATTAGGCAAAAAATAATAAAAATAAAACTTGAGGAAAAAGAAAATTTCAAAGCAAAACAAGAGCAAACACTGGGTATTTATTATTTGCCTTCTGTATTTTCATTTGTTCATTGTGGTTATGGGTATATACAGTTGTCAAAACTCATAGAACTGAATACTTAAAATATGTGTATATCATTGTATATAAGTTGTACCTTAAAGTTGGTTAAATAAAAAGTACTTTACAAAACAGGACAAGCAGTCAGAAGAGGGAGACAAGTGGACAACCAGGACAGGAAGCAAAGCAGAGGTGAGAAGAAAAGGATATAATATGTCACAAGCAAAGGCGTGTCTTCATTACGTGTCTTCAATAAGCTAGGTGCCAGAGATAGAGTAACAAACAAGATAAAAAGATCTCTGTTGTAATGATGGTTATTAACTGAATGGAGGAAACAGACAGTAAACCATTAAACAAATACATAATCAAGGTAATTTCAGATAGGACAAGTTTCCTGTAAAGAAGGAAACAAGGTTAAGTGATAGAAAACACTTCTCCTGTAGGGGCAGGCAGACACACCTTTGGAGAGCCTTTGGAGAGGAATGACATTCCAGGTGAACCTCGAAGCATGAGAAGCCACAGAAAGAGCTGGGGGAAAAGAGTTCTAGGAGAAGGAATAGCAAACACAGAGGCCCTGGGCCGGGGAAGGGGTTGGTTTTGTTAAGCACAATGAGTAGGGGAAAAGGTGGAAAATAGTATCTAGATGGACAGGGATCAGATTTCATTCGAAGTGCAATGGGAAATCTTGGAAGTATTCAAAGGCACAGAGTAAAATAATAATTTTTACTTTTAAAAGATATCAACCTGACTGCTGTGTGGAGAACAAAGAGGGGTAAGAATGATGCAGTGAGGCCAGTGAAGATAATACTGCCAAGGTCCGAGCAGGAGACATTCACCTAGAATTGCAAGAGGGGAGACGGAAAGGAGGAGGCAGATTAAAGACATATTTTGGCACACTGTCCTGAACATTGGATGGGATGTGGGAAAGGAGGTAAGAGCAGTGTAAGTGGAAGAAATCTTCCCCCAGTCAGTTTCCAGAACAGCTGTAGGTAAAAACAACCCAGCTAGAGATTAACTCAGGACTTAACTACATGATACTAATTCATTCAAGAATTAAGGTAGGTTGGACAGGAGCAGTCAAGAGATAACTTCAGGAAAAAAACAGAAATTGAGTTAGGTGTAGGAATCAGAGAGGAAAGAAGGAAGTCACTTTAGGTTATAGGGGACAGACTGATCAACAGCATGAAAGAAGCATAAGCAAGGACTGAGAGAGGCAACAATACGATTGGTGTGATTAGAATGGGGGTTTCACTGAAAATGTTCTCAATAATCCACCGGGCCCCAAGTTAGCACTTTGTCCCCTTCGTTTGTAACGTATTATATCCTTTTCTTCTCACCTCTGCTTTTTTTTCTGTCCTGGTTGTCCACTTGTCTCCCTCTTACAACTGCTTGTCCCATTTATTAAAGTACTTTTCATTTAACCAACTTCAAGGTACAACTTATATACAATGATATACACATATTTTGAGTATTCAGTTCTCTGAGTTTCGACAAGTGTATACACCTGTAACCATCATCACATCTCATTCAAGATGTAGGATATTTTTATCACTCTAAAAAGTTCCCTCAGGCCCTTTTACAGTCAGTTTTCTCTTATTTCAGGACTCAGGCAGTCACTGATCTACTTTCTATAACTTTAGATTAGTTCTGCCTCAAAAGCTTCATAGATATGCAAATCATACAGTGTCTGGCTTCTTTTGTTCAGCATAATTTTTTGAAAATCAAACATGCTATTCTGCATATCAAGAGTTCATTCTGTTTTCATTGCAGAGCAGTGTTCTATTTACTGGGCATACCACAGCTTGTTTATCTATTCACCTATATGTGGACATTAGGATTGTTTTTAATTTGGGGCTGTAATGAATAAAGCTGCTATGAGTATCCATGTAAAAGGGTTTTCATTCCACATGGGTAAACATAGTAAGTGTATATTTAAATTTATAAGAAACTGCCAAAGTACTTTCTAAAGCAGTTATACCATTTTACATTCCTGCTGGACAGACATGAGAATTCAGGTTGCTCTACTTCCATTGGTATTGTCATTCTTTATAATTTTAGTCATCTTGGTGGGTATGTAGTAGTATCTTACTGTGATTTTAATTTTAATTTCCCTGATGTCTAATGCTGTCAAATATGTTTTTATGTGTTTCTTGGCCAATCCCCTTGCCTCCTTTAATCCATCTTTGTTATTTCGTTTCTTGCTTTCTATTTACTCACCACTCTGAGAAACTTTTTCATAGTTCTTTACTGGCCCTAACCTTCTTGTCTTAGGCCTTAAGCTTATGCTTCTGCCCTAGACTCCCACTCTGGCGGTGATCCCTGGCTCTCCTCTTATTTTCTTCCTGCTCTGTAGGATACCACCTAATGCCAATGAATGGTGTGTATGTTGCAATGAGTGGGAGAGGTGGGAAAGAAGTAGACTGTGTAGGAAGCTCTAGCAACTAAGTATGAAACAATGGGGGCTTGATATGAGATGGTTCTAACAAGGCACAAGAGGAAAAGTGCAGGGGCTGACATAGTGTCAGAGGTGAGTACGGTGCAAGTCTCATTAACTCGGATGCCTATGGGTAAAAACAAGAAGCATGGACAGATGAAGGAACCAGGTGGGTGGAGGTAACCAGAGATAGCCTGATGCACCTAAAGCACTGAGTTTCAACTCATCACTGCCAGCAGGGAAGGCAAGCTTAAGGATGCTTGAGATACTGGTCTTTTCAAGAGAAGCTCAAAAATTCATATTTATTTTTATGTGAAATCTCCCAATTCCTAAATATCAGAAAATAATTTAACTTAGGGAAAAAAACAAGCCACCACATGGGTTGAACAAAACATAGCTGTGGCCTGACTACAATTCTGAGCCTGCCCATTTACCATCTCTGATAGAAAAGAGGAATCTCTCCTTTTTGTTACCAGCCCTTCTAGCACTCAGATTGTGGTACTTATTTATCGCCCATAGAATTGTACTGAACAACTTGAAGACTGATCTTATTTCTTTGCTAAGTTGGAGTAAATTCCATGAGAGCAGAGGTTTTCTATATATATTTGTATTATATGTAGTTCTATAACTATACATTAGTTTTTGCCTCAAGTTGCACATGCTTGGAAATGATCCAGTAGCTGCCTTCTTCTGCTTAGCATACTATTTTCAGAATTAAGCATGATGTTCTGTGCACCAAAAGTTTGTTCCTTTGTACACACTATGTACTTAATAAGGATGGGAAGAAGAGGGATAAAACAGGAAACAGAAAGTAAGTGGGGAAGGTGGTCACTGAAGTGTTCTAGCCTGAAAGATTGGAAAAATATAATTTCTAAAGCTTTTCTGCTTAAAGGACCCTTCTAAACCAACACTAATTATTTAAAAAAATCTCTCAATGCTTTAATAACACATCTGATAGTGAGATTTGCATTCGTTTAAAAAATAGGTTCTCTGCTGGGCCTCATCATTGAAACATACTGTGCAGGTTCCAGGGAACCAGCTTGAAACCCATCCTGCTAGAGGTTATACTAAAAACAATCTTTAGACTAAGCCAAATTGACTTATCTCTTTTTTCTGTATACTTAAAAGGGTTTCACTAAAAAGTAGAGAAGAAATAAAAGTCCCTAAACAGACAATATTTTCTTTAGGGGCCTTTTAAAAACTAAACACTCAAAGAAAAGGGCAATGATCAGTATAGATATAAAGGAAACAAGTATGTCATATTGTCTGCAAAACTGAAAATCCAATGAAAATTCAGTGATATATACATATATATATATTTCATATATATATATTTATATATATATTTCATATATATGTATTTTTATATATATTTCTTCATATATATATATATATAACAGAATTCTTTATGGAAAAAGAACAGGAAAACTGAAACTGGATATAGTACTCTCTTTAAAAACATTAATTTAACATAAACTGTGACAAAGTTTAGAAATCATTTATCAGGGTTTCCACATGGTTGTTCTGTTCAAGCCAGTTATGAAGTCATTCAGTGACAAGGGAAAAGGATCTTAATTAATCATGGTGCAATCAAGTTACTACACATGTTGAGAGCTCTTTCAAATTGCATTATAATCTGATGTGTATGTTGTTACATTTCAGGAGACATGTTGTTAGTATAAAAATGTCTTACATTTTTGGTAGGCATATGCCATCACAGTAGTGCAGTATATTTTATCGTTAGTGCTCAGTAACAATTCTGTGCTTCCTGATACAATTTATTTCTTAAACACAGGAAATTTTATTTCAACTGGCTTGTCACATATTCTTAAGAATGTCAGTAAGAAGAGAAACAGCTATGCAGGCAAGATGTACAGTCTTGCTGACGGCCTTTTCTTCATAGGTTAGGATACTTATTATATGCCCAATTACAAAAGAAAACATGAAGATTGCTTACATATAAAAGAACAAAGATGAGTACAAAATTCTAAGGAAGAATCACATATGACCTCAACAGGAACAATCCTATTTTTATTGCAAATATAATGTTCATAATATCAAATGAAATCATAGCACACAAAGAATTTAATTCAATGAAAATACTTCAAACTAGATGTTAAAGTCAAAAAGCTGCAAATGTTTATACATATTCTTCCTCCCACTAAGTTTAAATTTGAGACTTCCCCCCAAAAGAGGAAATAATTAAAGGGTCTTGAATCTTTCTAAGTCTTGGCTTTTTAAATAAAAGTCTGTCTCTGGGCATCTACATAAAACTTTATATTACTGCTCATGTCACATCAAGGTAGAAATGGTAAAACATGAAAATCAACACTGTATCTTCAGTTCCTGTGAGGTAAGTAAAATATAAACAAAAATTTACCTTTTATATTTTTTAGGCTTTTATGAATTTCCCTTTAAATCTAACATTGTATCAAAAAAGTATAATATATTTAATGTTCAT